CTTTATGTCTCTTCCTGTGTCTCTCTCTCCCCGTGTCTCTGCATGTCCCTGTGTCTCTGTACCTCTCCTCATGTCTCGGTCTCTCCCTGTGTGTCTCTCCCCATGTCTCTGCATGTCTGTGTCTCTCCCTGTGTCTCTGCATGTCTGTGTCTCTCCCCGTGTCTCTGCATGTCTCTGTCTCTCCCCGTGTCTCTGCATGTCTCTGTCTCTCCCCGTGTCTCTGCATATCTCTCCCTGTGTTTGTCTCTGCGTCTATCTCTCCCTTTGTCTCTGTCTTCCCACGTCTCTGTGTGTGTCTCCATGTCTCTCCCTGTTCTGTCGGTGAGAGAAGCCTGCCCTTCGGGCGCTGGCACCTGCTCAGTTCAGGTGAGATCTGTGCCCTGCAGGCCCTTACAGGAGAGATGTCAGAGGTGACTCTGCCTTTCACACCCATCTGCCCCCGCCCACCGGGGCTGGCCAGCGCTGTGGTTTGGTTGGGTCCTGGTTGGTTCTCTCACATGGGACCGTTCTCGCCTCAGCCACAAGGGCAGAAATGAGCAGCCACAGCCCTGCTGAACAGGGGCCACCCCAAAACCCTGACAGGAATCACAGGCTGCTGGATCAAGCCCGACCTGATGCTGAATCTGCATTACAAGAAGTTTCCTTCACTGTGCGGCTGTTCTGAGTTCTCTATCATCTGCTACCAAATTTCTCTGACACAAGGGGGTGGGGATGAATCCCCCCAGAGCCCCAGAGCAGTCACAAGGTGAACCTCACGAGCCAGACACAACTCTTTCCAAATGTCATGAAGAGCAGGAAAGGGGGTTGGAGCGGAAGTACGGCAGGGAGGGTGCATGTCTTATCTGCAGTCAACCCGGGTTCGATGCCCGGCACCTCACACGGTCCCACAGCACGACCAGGAATGATCCCCAAGTGCCGAACCAGGAGGAACCCCGGTGCAGCCTCAAACAAAACAAAAGCAGGGAAGGGAGCATGGGGGTAGACCAAAGCGGGTGTCAGAGCAGGACAGGAGTGCCCGATGGCAGGGGAGGGGCACTCCTGGGGGTGTCGAGGACCCGAGCCCAGCTCTGTGGTGACATTCCCCCACAGCAGTCACTGGTGGCACAGCTGAGCTTATCTCTGCGGCCAGAGAGGCTGTTGCTTCTTTCACTTCCTAAAAGTGAAAACAAAACAACAAAACCCGAAACCACCAACTGAAAGCCGGAGGGGCCTTCCAGGACCTGGTTGGGGCTGATAGGGAGCAGCAGGGTCCTGAGCGGGCCCCCACGGGCCAGGTTCCAGATTGCAGGGTCCCCAGCCGCCCGTGGCCTCCTGAGACATTCCTTTTCTCTTTCCTTGGTTTTGGGGGCCACGTCCAGCCATGCTCAGCGTTACCCCCGGCTCTGCGCTCAGGCATCAATCCTGGAGTTGCAGGGGTGCTACACGGGGTGCTGGGGTCGAACCCGGGTTGGCCACATACATGGAAGGGCTCCTGCTCGACCCTCCTGGGGACCTTTCTCACTCTAGACGAGCATCAGTCCTAAGTCTGGGGGGACAAGGGGGCTGTGGCCCTGCAGGCTTGGACAGGCACGCATGTCCCCATCCCTCCTCCCCCCTCCCCCCTGTGGTGCCCGGTCCTGAGCACAGCTGCAAGGAACATTCCCGGTGCAGGTGTTGGAGGGGGGCCCCTGTCCAAGGACACAGTCTGAGGGTCCAAGGGACCCCAGGACTGTTTGTCCATCCAGCTCCACCAGGGGTGGCCCTGAAATGGCAGCTGGGCAGAATTCGGAGCCCCCAAAAGCCTGGGAGAGGGGCCCCAGGGAAAGAGCGCCCCTCGCGCATCCAGGACCCAGGATCCATCCCCAGCACCCAGGAACCAGGTGCCAACAAAGCTATCTTTGCTCCTTCCGCCCGCAGCACCCTGCTGGGACGGCAGCAGTGCACTGTCCCCAGGTCCTCTCACGGCCCAGCCCAGCTCAAGCTGCAGGTGGTGCTGTCTACTGCCTCCTTCAGGAAGCCCTCCTGGACTGCAGCGTCTGGCCACCCTGCCTCCTTTCTGCTCCTGCAGAAAAAAAGCCATTCTCTCTCCTGGTGGCAGCTCGTTGCAGAGTGGGGTGTCTGCATGCTACCGCCGAGAATGAGCGACCCCCACATCACAGAGGCCGCTGAGAAACACGTGGCCTGCAGTTTCTGGGGTGCCCATTGGGGGCTAAGTAGGTTCTCCCCAGGCTGTGAGCTCCTCTGGTGGGAGGGGGCCTTGTCCCACGGGCCTCCCCCCCCCCCAAGGCCTCTTTTGTGACTTGAGCCCGGTGCTTGGCGTGTCTCGGATGTGCCTGCCAGGAGTGCAGAGCAAGTAGTGAGGTGTGGAGCGGTCCCCCAGCCCGTGGGCCCCAAGGCAACAGTGGGCAGGGATGCAGGGATGGGGCTGGGGGCAATGCTCAGGCAGTTGCATCCCGGTCTCCCTCGGGGAGCAGTCGGCAGGAAGTGGGGGAGGTCCTCGGACGCGGGGGGGGGGGGGGGTGGAGGGGAGAGGCAGCAGTTCCACACAACAGGACAGTTGCAGCCAGGTGGGGACGTGACGGGGTCCTAGGGACCGGAGACGGGGCACAGGGATGGACACAGGCAGGCTGCGTGCTGTCCCCTCACAATAAAAACTCGAATAGCTCAGACGGAATCCAGTGGCCAAGTGCAAAGGAGCAGGAGCAGAGCCCCAGGGCACCTGCAGCTCAGCACCCTGTGAGCTGAGCACTGAGCAGGGAGGCACAGACTGGCAGCCTCTGCCACCTTTAGCAAATGTTTCATGCCATGGGGCTGGAGCAATAGCACAGCGGGCAGGGCGTTTACCTTGCAAGCGGTCGACCCGGGTTTGATTCCCAGCATCCCACATGGTCCCCTGAGCACTGCCAGGAGTAATTCCTGAGTGCATGAGCCAGGAGTAATCCCTGGGCTTCGCCGGGTGTAACCCAAAAAGAAAAAAAGTTTCATGCCATGGGGCCTGGTGGCGCTCAGTCTGGCTATGGCACTGGGGGTCGAACCCGGGTCAGCCATGGGCGAGCCAACACCTCCCGTGGCGGCACTGACCCTCCAGCCCATTCGCCTTAAATGTGTCTCGAGTGGCCCAGGCAGTGCCCAGGGGGGCCATTCCGGGAACTGGCACGTCCTGCCCAGAGCTTCGGCACGGTCCTGCTCTGGGCAGGGGGTCTCAGGCGGGCGGCTGAGCTCCTAGCGGGTTCTGGGCGAGGTGGATCCATTCTCCCTGGTTGCCACTAGGCCAGGCTTTAGGGGAACTTTCTTGGAGACCACAAGGCTTTGGGGAAAGCTAGGTCACCCCAGCTAGGGAAGGAGCACCTGCTGATCCCCAGGGTGGGCCCGGGGCTCCCTTCCTGATCCCCCCTACACCTGAGGGGCTGGGGACCTTGTGACTCGGGGATCAGACTGGGCTGTGCGCTCCAGCCCTTGGGCATTTCTGTAGCCCTGGGGTAGGGGAGTGTTGGACCAAGGGCCTGGCCCTGCCTCCCCGCTCACAAGGGGAAACATGTGCATAAACATGAGAGCCAGCACCTGGCCAAGTACACACACACACAGCCACACACAACACCGTGTGGAACTCAACATACACAGAGCACCATGCGGCACACACGTATATACACAGAGCACCGTGCGGATATCACACACACACAGCACCATGTGGGACACACATACACAGCACCGTGTGTGCAGGACACACTACTTACACACACACACACACAGCACTGTGTCGCACTCACACAGCACCACATGGTACATCTGTGTATACACACACACACACACACACACACACACACATACACAGAGTACACCACACAAGACACACACACGGAGCACCATGCAGGACACATACACACACAGAGAGCACCATGAGGGACACACACACACACACACACACACACACATACACACACACTCACACAGCACCGTCTGTACCAGGTTGACCAGGCCCTCTCTGCGGGGAGCACATAGTCACAGTGCAACAGCCGAACGCAGCCTATGGGACTGAGGTGGTCCCTGTGTGGGTCCCCTGCAGTGTCAGTGTGGCTCAGCTGAACGAGTGTGTCACTCCCATCTCAGTGGAAACGTCACTGTGGTGAAAGGAGGTGCAGGCCTGGGCACGCAGCCCTCATCCCACCTCGCCAGTATCTGCAAGGGTTGGGGCCCGGCCGAGCCACAGCTGCTGCCTCTGGACAAGCCACTGGTCCCCAGAGCAACTGCATCTGGGTCTCTCAGCACCATCGGAGACACCAGGCAGCCTGCTCCTCTGTGTCCTGCCCCACGCGGGGCCTGTCCTGGGCAAGGTGGCCTGAGCAGAGACCCCTGGAGGGGTGACGCACTAGGGGGTGGGGAGTACCTGTGCTTGGGGAGTCTGAAGTGGCCAAAATGTTTCTCCAGGGCCCATGGGTCCCTTGGAGCGAACATGCCACCCAAAAAGGACCGTGGTCACCCTGGAGGCTCGGCCCCGTGGTGGGCAGGTGCTTGGTTGGCCCCTGAGCAGAGGCGACAGTTGCTCGTGCACAGCCCTGGCCGGAAGGTCCCGTGTGTGCATTTAATAGTTCATGACCTCCGCGGCAGATACACACACAGCTCCCAACGGGCTGTGGCCCAGGACTGGGGTCCCCACGCCCCACCCAGCACCGCTTGGCCAGCCTTGGCACAGCAGAGCTGGTACCAGGGTAACACCAATGGGTACAAGAGCCCAAGGCCAGTGAGCATTCTGAAGACCACAGCTCGCCGCAGGGGCTGGGGACGCAGAGCTGGCCCTGCAGGGGTATCGCTTACGCACCATCACCCCAGAGCAGGAGGCTGGGCAGTGAGGGCAGGGGACGTGAGTCGGGCCCAGGTCCCGCGGGCACTGACACCCACCCGTGCGGCTCATCTCAGCGCCCAGGGCGCCTGAGGGAGGTGGGTCAGGGACCCTTGAAATTGGGCCAGGCCCAGTAGCGTGGGTGGAGAGGTGTCAGGAGCCCCACATGGGGGGGACATGGGCGAAGGCAGGAGGGCGGAAGGGGGAGGGGACGGCGTCCTTCTCCAGCTGCACTGTGGCCCCTTGGGCGGCTCTGGGCACTGCAGGCGTCACCACCACAGGTTGGGCGGTTCCTCAGCCACTCGGCTCTTAAACAAGGTGATCTCGTCCAGGTGCACCATGGGGACGTCCCGGATGGCATCCGCCAGCCCCTCGTGCAGCAATGGGAAGATGACCACGTTCAGCGCGGGCCGCTCGGCCTGGAAACTGAAGCAGAGACCCGTGAGCTGGGCTGGCGCCCCCTGCGGGCACGGGGTGCTGGGAGGGACACCACAAGGCAGAGCAGCCTCACTCCGGTGTTTCCACTCAGCCCCACGACCAGTGTCCGGAAGGGCTGCCAGACCCCACCCCAAGACAGCCCCCAGGCAGACATCAGGCCCACCACAGCTCCTGCACCCCACAGGCTCGAGGGGTGGCCCCTGCCCACCCTGGGTGAGAGACACGAGCTGTGGGAGTAGTTGCAGAGTGCAGCCGGGGCAGGGCACCTGGCATGGGAGCGCCAGGGCACAAGGAGGACCACCAACACCACCCGTGGGTCATCTGGCAGGCCGAAACTGTCAACCTTGAAAGTTTGGCGCTTCCACCAGAGAGGGGAGCCCCTGTCAGAGGAACCCAGGAGAGAAGGGCGGGGGGGGGGGGGGGGGGGGGGGGGGACCTGGAGGGAGGCAGGCACTACAGCTGAGAAGTCCTGAGCCACGGCGCCACCTGCTGGAGCGCCCGCAGACAAGCAGCCAAGAGACCCACCAGGCCTCAGCAGACGCCTCCCAGGGCCAAGGTGTCCTGATAGCCAGAGCGAGCAACTGGCTCCGACCCACAGCTGGGAAGACTCCTAGGTGGAGGTGCTGGAAGGAAGCTGGATCTGAGCACACAGCCCTGTGCTGTCACTGTGGGGGTTCAGGGAGGTGCTGGGGGTACCTGAGGATGCACTTGCACGGCTCCTTCTGAGCTGGCCTACCTGCTTCCAGGCACATGGCCCTCTGGCGCAGGAGCCCCAGGGGAAGTTTCCACAGTGGGGTTTCTAGGCCTAAGTCTAAGTCAAAAATATCTCCCTCAAATGGGCACTGGTGGAGGGATGGGTATTTGATCATTGAATAATTGAAACCCAAGCACAACAATTTGTAAGTCTACAACTGTACCTCATGATGTCTCACTAATAAAAATTTTTTAAAAAATCTCCCTCTCGGCCAGGGCACAGACTTGGACACATGAACCGTGGTTTGAGCCCCAGCACCGCCCTGAAAGCTGCTGAGTACCTTGGGGTAGAGCCCGAGTGATGTCCGCAAAGAACGCATTGCCATTCTTCCAGTCCTAGCATGAAACCATCACCCCCAAACACCGCTTGTGAGGCCCCCTAAAGAAAAGGGCCTTCACAGCTGGAACAGAGAAGGGATCACTAAGTCAATGATGGTTGAAGGGATCTCTCGGGATGGGAGATGTGTGCTGAAAGTAGATAAAGGACCAAACGTGATAGCCTCTCAGTATCTGTATTGCAAACCATAATGCCCAAAAGTAGAGAGAGAATATGGGAAATATCGTCTGCCATGGCAGCAGGGGCGGGTTGGAAAGGGGGGGGTATAACTGGGGACATTGGTGAAGGGATGGGTGTTCGATCATTGTATGACTGAAACGCAAACATGAAAGCTAGTAACTGTATCTCATAGTGATTCAGTTAAAAAAAAAAAGGGACTTCAGAGCTGGCCTGGGGACGAGCATGCACATAGAGGCATATATACAAAGGCACACACCTACAAATAAGCACACGCATACACAGATACACATACACCCGACACCCACTGCAGGGAATGCACAGACACACACGTTAAGAGATACAAATGCATGCACGAACGTACCCACGTGGGTGCGCGCACACACACAGAGGGACACACACCCGACATTCACTGCAGGGAATGCACAGACACATGTACAGATGCAAATGCTGCATGCATGCACGCACATGCACACACACACACACACACACACACACACACACAACACCTGACATCCACTGCAGGGAATGCATAGACACACACGAACAGATGCAAATGCACGCACGCAAGCGCTCATGTACACACATACACAACACACACACATCTGACACCCACTGCAAGGAATGCAGACACACACAGATACAAATTCATGCACACGCACGCATGCGTGCGCGCGCACACACACACACACTGCCTGGGCTTCTCCCCTACTGCTCTGGGCTCCTTGGGGTGGCAGCAGTCATGGGGCCACTTACCTGGAAACAGGCGACTGGCACCGAGCATGACACGGAGTCCATGCAGGGCCTGGGCACACACAGCCGGTTCAGTGGAACCAGCAGCGGTACCGGGAATCTGGGGTGGGACCCTCACTACAGTAGGGCTGCAAGCTGTAAGCCAGGCAGGAAACCCCCCTGGGAAAGCCCCTGAAGCTGCACAGGGAGCCGCCTGCGGCCCCGTGGTCACACAGCAGAGGGCGCTGTCGAGCTAGGCAATGCCCGGGGTTGGAGCGTGATCAGGCCCCGCCCCTGCCCTGAGCCGCTAACTGGCCTATGCACACCAAAGGGACACTAGCATCCCGCGGCTGGACACAGGGCTCCCGGCCTCGCCCGCAGGGCGGCGGGGTGAAAAACCGGTTCTGATTTTCATTTGCACCATTTAGTTTGGGAACTGCATGAACATCACGATGGGCATCCAAGCTGGGGTCCAGGTGCTCCTGTGGCCGGGCTTCATTGAAACCAGGAGGCCTCTCTGTCCACAAGGAGGGTCTTAGGATAACCAGGGTGCATGCGTCTCCTCTGCTCCCCAACATGCCCCACCCCAGTTCCAGCAGGCCTGGGCCGGGGGCAGAGTTGCACGGACAGGGGCTGGGGAGGGGAAGAAGTAGCTGTCCCCCGACCCCGAGATGGAGAAAGAACCAGGGCAGCCGCCAAAGTCAGGGGACCCCTGAGACCCTACTGAGAGACCAGGGCTGATGCACACAGCCCAGGAAGGAAGCGCTCCGTAACAACGAGGGGCCACCAGCAACGCAACAGCAGGGGTTGCAGCAGGTGACACCAACCAGGTGGCCTAGCTAGACAAGGAAAAAAAGGAGGTTCCGGGCAGCTGAGCCACAGCCTAGAATAGCAGGTCCTCGGGGTTGGCGGAGCTGAAACTCCAAGAATGTGGGATGACTTTACTGGGGGGGGGCGGGGGGCTTTTCAAGGGGGCCCGGAGAGATAGTACCACAGGGAGGGCGCTGGCCTTGCACGTGGCCATCCGGGTTGGATCCTGGGAGACAGTGCAAACACATCAAGCCGTGGCCTGGAGGAGGAGCACGGGGCTCAGAGCCTGAGGGCCCCCAGAGTGGGGCTGCGAGTTCCGTCCTGTATTCGACCCGCTGAGCTCGGTCCCTGACTTCTGCCCACTCAAGAGCCCCTGCCAGGGGCAGCCACTGTCAGCAGCGGCACCAACCAGATCTCCCCCCTCCCCTCCCCACCGCCCCCACTCACCTCCGGAGGAGTGACTGCTGCAGGCTCTTGCAGGTGGCCAGGGACTCCCCGGTGAACATATGACACACCACGACACGCAGACAGCGGGCCATGAAGGCCAGCACGGCCTCGGGCTGCATTGTGCCGCTGCGGGACACCAGGCACAGCCGCTGCAGAGCCGAGCACTGGCTCAGCGCCTGGAAGAACTGCGCGTTGGCACTGAAGTAGGGCTGCTCCAGCCTGCAGAGCGGGCGACAGGGGCGGGGTGAGACGGGCCTGTGTGCGGGAGATCGGGTCTCCGCGGGCTCGGACTGTGCACCCGTCCTGCTCCCGGGCCCCGCCCCGCGGTCCTGCGGATGTCCTCAAGGAGAGACCTGGGGACAGGAGAGGGGTGTGGGGCCTGAGGCTGCCGGGTGCCTCGGGGTCTGAGGCCAGGCCAGGCCTCTGGACAGGGCCGTCAGCAGGTCCATGGCAGGGTTGGCGGACAAGAAGCTTCCGGACCCTTTGGGGGGTGGGGCTCTGTAGCCCAGACAGAAAGAGCAAAGGGTCTGGGACACATTCGCGGTCACAGGCCAGAGCCTGGTGGGATCTTGTCCTGACTGAATCTCAAACAAATGCAGGGCAGCTGCGGCTGCACAGGGGGCCCCCAAGGGGCAGTTTCTGAGCACCCCTCGCCCTCAGGACGCTGAGATGCCGTGGTGCCTGCAGGCCGGCCCTCTGGGGGCGATGCTGGGTGGCAGGTCCCTGGCCTGCCACCAGGGAGCGCTCACCCAGCAGGGAATCCTGCAAGCAGGCGACAGGTGGCGGGGCTGTCTCAGGTGCTTGTCCCCGGGAGCAGGGGCTCAGGCGGCAAGGGGGAGGAAGGCAGGCGGCCAGGGAAGGCAGCCGACTGGCTGTGCAGCAGAGCCCGTGTCTGCTCTGTTCCGAACATGCTGTCCCCGTCCCAGCAGTGACTGTGGACGCACGCAGCGGGGCCTTTGGCAGCGTGGCCAGGTTCTCACAGAACCAGCAGACGCAGCCCTGCTCGTTTGCCTGGCGCACAGCCCCTAGGCTGGCACCAGTGTCGCCGTTACCCACTTAGTGCCCAAGTCCCGCTGGGCAGGGACCCCGCCAGTGCCCACAGACTCCTCCCCCGAGATGTGAGACAGTGGCTCTGGCTCCTGGGGCTCCTGCCCTGCCCACGGCCCTGCTTCTCGGGGACCTGTCACCCCCTGCTGGGGCTTGGGGGGCTGCAGGGACAATCTCGGATGACACCCAGCCCAGACCACCAAGGAGCAGGCTGGCCTGTCAACAAGGGAGGGCGCGGCCAAAGGTAACAGGTCCAGCAAGAACGTGCCCAGGCCGGGTGAGACACAGCAGAGCCCCTGCAGCGACCTGCCGGCACCCCATGCTGATAGCCCCCACTCGCACTGGTCCGCCCATGCCCACAGTGCCTCCCGCTGGAGACCTGGGGGGGGGGGGGGCGACATCTGGCGCTTGCAGAAACCCCAAGAAGCCCAAGGACAGGCAAGTCCTGCACGACGGGGTGAGGGGCTGCAATGGGCACCCCCTAGAGCAGACGAAGGTTCCAAAGGCTTCGGCCAGGAAGGGGCTGAGCCCCAGGTGGGGTAGGGGGACAGGCAGGGCGGTGGGCCAGCTGAAAGGGGTGCATGCAAGTCCCCCACAGCCACACACAGGAGGCCCCACTGCTCTGCAGGCAAGAAGTGGCAGGCTGGGGGGGGGGGGGCGGAAGAAGGCGAGGTCACTGGACCTGGACGTCCTGGGGCCATCACTAAGTGCCCCCCAATCTCCTCGAGATCAGGAAACAGGACAGGATCTCAGTGCACCTGGGGCTCCTGCTACCCCCTCCCATGGTTCCAGAGGCCCCGCTCTTGCTGGGAAGTAGTTCTGGAAGATTCTGGCAGCACAGTCTCACAGCTCCTGCAGGAACCAAGCTCAGCAATGCACAGGCCCCCCACAGCACCTGTGGGGGCGCAGGGCTGGGACGGGCCACAGCAGGGCCTTGAGCCCCAGAGAGAGGGCAGGTGGGTGCGACCAGCCTGAGCCGGCAGGGCCAGTCACGGGGACTGACGGGGCTGAGCAGGAACAGGCGCACGTAGGGCCCAGGGCTCCTCCATGGTCCAAGCCGGGCAGCCACCCGCCCTGCCCACGCCAAGAGATGCTCCAACCCAAAGAAGTGAGCTCGCCCTTTGCAGGGATGCCCGTGACACGGCAGCCAGGTACCTTGGCCACCGCCGGGTCAGCTGAAGACCCAGGCCTGGACCCCACACGCCGGATCCTGCACGTGTTCATGGCTGAACCTTGGGGGTAGCCACGGCCCCCCCACACCCCCGACCCCACCTAACTCCGACTCGGTCTCAGGCATGAGGCTGGAGGTGAGTCAAGGTCACCACAGACCATGCCGCAGAGGGCACCAATGGTACCAACGGCACCTATGGGTCCACCCGGCACCTAGCCCCCGCCCCCGCGCCCCCTGCCCCTCACCTGAGGTCGCGCAGGCGTGTGCAGTGCCGCAGCATGTCGGAGAGGGCGGCCATGTACACCACCTTGCCCATCATGCCCAGGTTGGCGAGTGACAGGGACTGCAGCTGCTGGCACTGCAGGCCGATGCTCACCAGCCCGGAGCCCGTGAGCACGCTGGGCAGCTGGGCCAGCGTCAGGTGGCGGAGGAAGGCCAGCTGACCGATGGCGGCCACCTCGGCGTCGCCGACGCTCTGGGCGCGGCTGCAGGGCGGCAGGGAGTTGCGGATGGCCGGCTCGTTGCGCGGCATGGCCGAGGAGAAGTTGGAGCCGATGAGCTCCAGGCGCTGCAGGAAGGGGACGCTCCGCAGCAGCGACCAGAACACGGAGGCGGGCTGCGGGCCGGCCTGGCCGGCGGCGAAGGGGCCGGGGTAGGAGGGCACGCCGAGCCGCACCTTCTTGCCGAAGCCACGGGGCGCGGCGTGCATGGCGGGCTGGGCGGGGGCGCGGTCGGCCCGCGGCGCCGAGTCGGCCACGGCGCACACGGGCAGCGCCAGCGAGCGCAGGTGGCGGAGCCGGGCCAGCAGCTGGCACAGGTGGCGGCCGGGGCCCTCGGCGCTGTGGTGGTGGGCGGCCGAGAGGTTGAGGTGGCGCAGCTGGCAGCAGGCGGCCACCAGCGCCTCCAGGATGCTGCTGTCGATGTCGTCCTCCGCCTTGCGGGGCAGGGCGTCGGGGGACAGGCAGTGTGCGCAGCCGCTGAGATTGAGGCTGGCCAGGCTGCGCAGGTCGCGGCCGCCGTGCAGCAGGCGCTGCAGCAGGTGGCCGCCGGACAGGGCGCAGCGGCTGAAGCTGAAGAAGAAGGGCTTGTTGAAGCGCAGGTGCTGCAGCAGCGCCGAGCCGTTGAGCCAGGAGCGCGGCAGCTGCAGGGCGTCCAGCGCCACGTTGCGGGCCATGGAGTCCAGCAGGTTCTTGGTGGCGCCGCTCTCGGCGAAGCTTCCGGGCACGGAGATGAGGAAGGCGCGCAGATTCTCGGGCGTGCGGTCGCTGAGCACGGCCAGGTAGAGGCGCAGCACCTCCTGGTTGATGTAGCCGGGCGCCAGACGGGCGTAGAAGACACGCAGGCTCTGGTAGTGCGGCACGTTGCTCTGGCCCACCAGCAGCTGGCCCGACAGCGCGGCGCCCTCGCGCGTGCGGTCAAGGATCTCGAAGTAGAGCAGCAGCTTCTCCAGGCTGGTGCAGCAGGGCACCACGCCGTACGAGGGCGTGTAGAGCGTCTGCTTCAGCTCGCGCACGCGGCTCAGGGTGGCCTTGCACTCGGAGCTCAGCTGGCTGGCGTCGAAGCCGGGGCTCACGTCGATGGCCAGCGAGCGCAGGTGCGGCAGCGCCGACAGCACCTTGGAGAGGCGCAGTGAGGTGAGGTGGCAGCCGGCCAGGTTCACCTTCACCAGGCTGTGGCAGCGAGCCACGTGCTCCACTGTGGCGCCCGACAGCCAGTAGCAGCCGGCCAGGTCGAGCTGCTGGATCTCGTGGCCGATGGCCTTCACCAACTGCTTCACCTTGTCCTCGCTGGCCTGTGGGCGGGAGGGAGAGACTGAGCGCAGACCCCCCCTCCAGCCACGTGTGCCCACCCCCGAGGCCATCAGGGACCCCATGGGGCCCCACCCCAGCTGGCCCCAGACCAGTACCCAGGGGTGCCCTCCCCCCCCCCAAGTTCAAGAGTCCCTGGCAGCGGCAGCGGTGAGCCGGGAGCTGGCCCATGGAGGGGAACGTCAGCTGCGGAGCGAGGCTCTGCAGGCTGTGCCCAGGGGTGCCCGCCCAGCTGCGACCCCACTTCGCGGCTCACCTCGTAGTCCTTCTGCAGCAGCACCGTGTGCGTGAGGCTCTTATCCAGGCTCAGTGCTGCCAGCCGCCGACACACGTGCCGCACACTCAGCACCAGGTCCGTGCTGGGCACGTGACGCAGGATGTGCAGCAGGATCTCATCCGAGAAGCCCAGCAGGTGGGCGCCGCCCCCAACGCCGCCGTCCTGAAAGGGGGCCGCCACATTGTCCGGAACCCGGAGGAAGGCCTGGGGCGCCAGGTCACCGCCCCCCACCCCCCCACCCCCGCCCCATGCCATGGTCTGGGGGAAGAAGGGAGCTCGGGCAGCCGGAGGAGTAGCTGAGCATCACCAGGTGTGCCACAAACAAAAGGGGCAGAGAGGGGCTGGAGTGATAGCACAGCAGGGAGGGCGTTTGCCTTGCACGCGGCTGACCCGGGTTCGATTCCCAGCATCCCATAGGGTCCCCTGAGCACTGCCAGGAGTGATTCCTGAGTGCAGAGCCAGGAGTAATCCCTGAGCATCGCCAGGTGTGACCCGAAAAGAAAAAAAAAAAGGAGGCGGAGAGGCTCTGCCCCAGAGTTTTGCTCTCACCGCTAAGAAGACCCACACCCTCCCTCGAGCCCTCCAGAGCCGTGCCGGGACACCTTCCCAAGTAAAAGGTGCCTCTGGCAGGGAAAAGGCCACCCTTTCCTCAGCCACAGGCTCCAGGCAAGTGGCAATCGCGTCCTTCAAGCCTGGCCATGGAAAGCGATGCATGCTGTGGCTCTCAGGGTCAGCCTTCCTGTTCCGTGTGGCTGGACAGAGTCCGTCCACCTCACTGCGGGGCCTCCCCTCCACACAAAGGCCCAATGCCTTTCTTGATCTGGTCTGGGACCGCACTTGGCGCTGCTCAGGGCTTACCCCTGGCTCCTCTTCTCAGGGATCACTCCTGGCGGTGCTTGGGGAGGGCCATATGGGATGCAAGGGACTGAACCCAGTTTCACTGCCTTCAAGGAAGGCAAGTGTACCATCCACCATCCGGCCTCTCCTGTTCAAATCCCCGGTACCACTGAGAAGTGCCAGGAATATCCCCAAGCTCACCAGATGGGGGCCGAGTCACCGCCCAGTTTAATATTTAAATAGGGGCTGCCCCCAGCAGTGGGCCTGATATGACAGACTGACGGTGCCACAGCATCTGGTGGTGCTCAGGATCTCAGTTACTCCAGAGTTATCTCCAGGGCCCAGGAATGTATTTAACTTCAGCGGGGCTGGAGAGTACGAGTTAAGAGTTAAGGTGCTCGCCTTGCATGCAGCCAAGCTCAACTCAAACCCCAGGCAGTTAGATCCCTGCCCCGCTGTGCCGGGTGGGGCCCAAAAACCCCAAAGAAATTCAACGAAAGTAAAGTGTCAGTTGAGGAGGGAACTGGCATCCCGGTTCTGATCCCCAGAGCCGCACAGTCTCCCCAACACCCCAAGAGACAGCTTTGCAACCCCCAAGCACCGCTAGGGCCAAAAAGTGAAAAAGAGAGGCAAGGGGTTGGAGAGATGGTACCAAAGACAAGGCGTTTTCTTTGCACAGAGCTGACCAGGTCGGATCGCTGGCACCACCTGTGGTTTCCTGAGCACTACTGGCTGGGACCCAAAACCCAAAGAGCGAGAGACTTTTCATAAGAGGGCCTTGATCACCAAGGGCTAGTTGGAAGCGCCCCTCTCCTTTTATTCTGAGGGGCCCACAAAGAAACATGAGGTCTCACTGGCCGGGGGAATAAAGTGCTTCAGGGCACAGAGGGGCCTGTGACCTCTGAACACCAGGCTCCCACCACCCCTAGCACACATCACTGGCCACAGAGCGTAAACACTGAACAGGTGCTTCGTGGCCCCGTCCCACACCCTGGGCTGCACCCAGCGGAGACAGTCACTGAAATGCATGAGGCCAGGCCCCCCACCACCGAGGTCCACAGGAAAACCCCAGGACTCGGGGGACCCGGAGAGCAGGCGCAAACACAGGCACCCACGGGGGATACGCGCGCAGCCCCGACGGGCTTCTTCCACCCGTGCGCCTGGGCGCGGGGGAGGGAGCGCACCAGGGATAAGTCACGGCCCCCCAGCGCTACCCCCAAATCACACAACCAAAACAGACAGCAGGGCTGGACCGATCGACCGGAGACCAGGCGGGGAGCAGAGGGGGCGCGGCGGGGCTGGGGGGTTTGCTGGATCGAGGAGCCCGGGACTGGCGCGCCCAGGGGCGCGGGGGGACGGCGCGGGGCGGGGGCGGCGGCGGGGGCGGGAGGGGCGAGGCCGGGCCGGGGGCGGGCCGCGCGGGGCCGAGGACACCCGCAGCAGCCGACCTACCTCTCCGACGCTTGTCATGTCGAGGGCGGCGCGAGCCGCGGCCGCCGGAGCCGCAGCCCCGGGGCCTCCCACCTGGCCGGCTGGGGATGCTCAAAGCCGGCGTGTCCGCGGCTCCAGAGAGACCCAGAGGGGGCGGGGTCAGCAGCCACTTCCGGCGCCCGCGATACGCACTTCCGCTCCTCCCTAGACGTGCCCCGGCGGCCGCCATGTTGGGTGTGGCACCAGTGCCAGGGTCCGTCGAACGCGGCCGCTCCTGCTATGGGCCGACTCCTCCGCGCTCGGAACCGGCCTTCCGGGCCGTCCGACCGCCTGGGGGCACCTGCTGCCTGCCTCCGGGCTTTTGCATCCCCGGCCGCCCGCGGCGTTGCAAGCCGTGAAGAGCCCGCCCTGTGCTGCAGAGCGCGGGGCATCTCCCGCGCGCGCCCTAACTTAAGCCCAACCCTGTTGCCATGGCTCTATGCACATCCGACCCCCCACCCCCCATAATTTGTACGGCACGTATAAGATCCGCCATCCCTAAAGAGTGCCTGGCACCTTGAGGCATCCAAGAACTATTTGTTGGTGTGGTGGATGTGGACACGTCCTCACTTGGAACCTCTCCGTCCGGCTCATTACAGGCGCCCAGGAAGTACCTGAAAGTCCTGATTCCAGCCCCAACACTGCACCCACCCGCAGCTCTTCAAACCCTGATACAAGGTCTCGCTGGCTTGTTTCAAAGTTTCTTTGCTTGCCTATTTCCACTCTGGAGATTCCTGTGTTCTCTCTTGATAACGTACTTCTCTCTCTCTCTGTTTCCTCATAGCTTTCTAAATAAATATTAATACCTTGCTTCACCAAAACAAAGAGAAAAGTTAAAAAAAAAATCACTGAGATTGAGTGGATGTTCTCAGTAAATCCTGAGCACTTCTGGGTGTGGTCCAACAACAGGAAGAAGGAAGGAAGGGAGGAAGAGAGGAAGGGGGGGACAGAGGGATGGTACAAGGTTGTTAGGGTGTTTGCCTTGCACAAACACCAAGCAATTCAATCCTCAGCATCACTGCCAGGAGTAATTCCTGAGTGTAGAGCCAGGAGTAACTCCTGAGCACTGCAGGTTGTGGCCCTGAGCATCATTAGGTGTGGCCAGGAAAAAAAGGAGAGAGGGAGGGAGGAAGGGAGAGTGTGTATGTGTGGGGTCGGCACCCACCCATAGTGTGTGCATTTGCCTGTGTGCAGCCCGGGGACCCAGCCTCGTTCACTGTGACCTCAGCCCAGTGAATGTCATGTGCCCGACCTTCCAAAGACTGCATTCCAAGGTTCTGGGTGGACAAGAATCTGGGGGGTCACATTCCACCCAGGACTTGTTTGGGCTCCACCACCCCCTGCCCTTGTTCCCTCCCCTGGTCTTGTGGTGACTCAGTTGTCAATGTCACAGGCATGTGCGGGATCCTTGGGAGCACCCCATGGGGGAGGCACATCCTCATGCCTAAACAAGGGAGGGGTCATAACGCAGCCTTGACATGGAGCCCCCTCTGGCCCCACAGAACCCCAGGCCTCTCTTCCTTGTCCTGACTAGCCCCCTTTCCTGGGACCTGTTTACAAGCCAAATAAATGATCGCTTGAATAGGGCAGTGCAGAAAAGGAACCAGGGGAGGCCCACGCCTATGATCTGACCCCTATGAGGAGGAAGGAGCCCCATGTTTCCTGGGGCCTCATCCCCCACGGGTGAGGGGGGGGAAGTGGTGACGAAGACCACAGCCCTAGGGGCTAAGTGACCAGAAACTGCAGGCAAAGATGGGGGGATGTGCTCAGAAATAAATCCTGGCCAGCTCCGAGCCCCCTTCATTTACTTTTTTTGTTTGTTTTGTTTTGGCCACACTTGGCAGTGCTTAGAGGTTGCTCCTGGCTCTACTCTCAGGAATTACTTCTGGCCATACTTAGGGGATCATTGGGGTGCTGGGGATGGGACCTGGATCGCCCTACCTACCTGTTGTACTATCTTTCTAGCCCCGGAGCCCTATTCATTAAAAAGCAGAGTCTGACAGTGATAGTGCAGTGGGTAGGGTGCTTGCCTTGCATGCACTGATCTGGGTTCAATCCCTGGCATCCCATATGATCCACAAAGCAACGCCAGGAGTAATTCCTGAGTGCAGAGCCAAGAGTGACCCATGAACATTGCTGGGTATGACCCAAAAAACTAATTAAATAAAAATAAAAATGGGTAGGAAAATAAAATAAAAATAAAAGCAAAAAATAAATAAATAAAAATGGGGTCTAGGGGCCAGAGCAAAAATAAAGCACGTAGGGTGCTTGCCTTGCACACAGCTGACCCAGGGTTTGATCCAGGAATTCTGTATAATACCCCAGCTAGGAGTGATCCCTGAGCACTGAGCCAGGAGTAACCTTGGAACACCACTAGGTAGTGGCCCGAAAACCAAAACACTCAAACAAAAAAATTAAAGTGGGTTTTAGGGTCCAGAGCTCTAGTACAGCGGGTAGGGGCACTTGCTTTGTGCATGGCCATCCCAGGTTCATCCATGGCACCTCATATATTTCCCTCAAGCCCCACCAGGAGTGATCCCTGAGCACAAAGCCAGGAGTAAGTCCTGAGCACTGCTGGGTATGACCCCCCCAACCCAAATCCAAACCCACAGCAGGGCCTCGGGCCAGAGATGACTCGAGGGGCCAAACGCAGGTTCTGCACGCAGGAGGCCTGGATTTAACTATCCCCTGGCACCACCAGGAACGAACCCAAGCATAGAGCTGAAAGTACCACCCAGCATGACTCGGTACCACCCATGAACCAAGACAAGTGAGTGAACAAGTTTGCCCTTTCAAAGCCAGGTTCGTGGAGCAGAGGGGACAAGGGACCAAGGCATTTCCTTTGCACACAAGACTGATCCCACTTCGATTAAAATAGGGTCTAGGGGCCACATATACAGCAGGTAGCTGCTTGCCTTGCACTTGTCATTTCCCAGGTGGCCACAGCCCCTCCCCGCCCCAGACCAGGCTGTCCTCTGTCAGTTGTCCTCCCTGGGAAGAAGGAACTTCCTCTTCTCTCTCCCCGCACCGTTTTCCTCTGTGACTCTGGACTGGAATCACACACACAAAACACAAACACATGTAGACACACACACAACACAATCACACTCATACACATAGTCACACACACAGTCATTCACACGGGCATCACACTCACACTCACATATACACCCCTGGCCACTGTGCGGTGGTTTTCACTGCAGGTCCCAAGAGGTTTGCAGTCCTTCTGTTGCAGTGACTGCTCATGTCCTTGCGGGGGAGCCCAAGTCTTTGAGGAGCCACACCTGGCCGAGCTCAGGAGCCACTCCCAGCTCTGCACTCAGAATCACTTCCTGTGGTGCTTGGGGACGACAGGGGCAGGAATGGAGCCTACTCACAGCTCCGTTCCCAGAGCTGGGGGTGCCCCCCCCCCCCCCGCAGCTTTCAGTCACCACGAGCCACACCTCCCAGCTGTGTGTCACAGGCACATTTGTTTCTTTGTTCTTTGGGCCACACGTGGTTGTGCCCGAGGACCGTTCACAGCTGTACAGGAGTCACAGCAAGGGGCGCTCGAGGCATCTGAAAGCCAAGCATATGCTACAGCCCTATGACCCCCTGGCCCTTATACCTTCTTACCACTTGCAGTGTACGCCTGTGGTTGCACCCCTCGCTTATGGTGCCCACACACATCTGGCTGCGGTGTGGCCGGAAATCAACATGGTGCTGGGAACCTCAGGCAGCAGAGTTTGACATACAGGAGACACTGGGCATTCAAACTCAGGACCAGATAGATACTCACCAGGTAAGCGCTCTAAGTCCAGTGTTCTGCCTTCCTTTGAAGGATTCTTTTTTTTTCTTGGTTCTAGGGCCACACCCAGTGATGCTCAAGGGTTACTTCTGGCAATCTGCAGGACCATGTGATCTATCCTCAAGTTCCCTACCTACTGTACTCTCCAGCCCCAGAGCAGTCTGTTGGGTGCAGGTGTACCCAGGGTGGGGTGCTGTGCAGAGTGCAGATGTAGAGGGCATGGGTCATTCAGCCGACCCCTAAAGTGCCTGGTGGGGGAGTCACCTGAAACTTTGGGGTACCATCTGTCTAGCCAGGGGAAGAAGGGGGGTGTCAGTCGGGTCCAGGGGTGTGGCTGCCTGCACCCAGCAGCATCCTGAGGCCCCAGAGAAACTCCAAAGGCTGCCGTAGGTCCAATTCCTGGCACATGACCTCTCAAGCACCAGGCAGAATGGGCCCCCTCCTCAAAATAAAAACTTAAAATGTCTGTGACTGTTTCAGTAACTTTATTTGTAACACATACAGGAAATATCTCCAACTTCTTTTCTTCTATGTAGGTGCCCTGGGGTCAACCAGGGAAGCTGGCAGCCAGGTGATAGGGCGGACATCTCTGCACAGATTCTGTTCTCAGTTCTTCCCAGACCCAATGAGGTCCCCATTGTTTGCCCCACCCCAGGAGTGGGGAACCACCAAACAGCCTCTGTGGAGGCTCACCCTACTTGAGGTCCTGGTCCAGCCCTGCCTCCAGTCACATTTGGGAGCCTCTAGCACATCTGGGGCCACACCTAGTGATGCTCAGGAATCAGTCCTGTGGATTGAAACCACTCAGCCTTTGTGCAAGGCTGTGCCCCCTTTTCTCCACCATGTCTTGGGTGGTGGTCACTTGCAGCACTAGGCTCCTCTGGGCCCACTGCCCACCCGGGGTCACCTAACACCACCTTGATCTGCACCAGGAACAGGGCCCTTTGCATTTCAACCTGCCCACGAAGCTAGGTACCTCCCAGGGTAGAACGGTGGCTAGGACTGGCTAGAAGAATCCTCCAGGGCCACCCACAACCATTCAGGACCTGGTCAACAGGTCGAGTGGCTCTGGGGAGGCTCAGCTGCAGGACCTCCCTCTTCCCTACCTCTAGCTAAGCTGTGAGCACAGCTGGGTGAAGCGGGCTGACCAGGCTGGGAATGGGGAACTGGCCATTACCGTGTGGAGCGAGCCCATTCCTCACTCAATGTGGGGCATAAGAGTATGGGGCTGCAGTGGGGGGCAACTAGACCAGCTGTCCAGGGCAGAGCTGAGGGAGTCCCAAGGAGTGACCCGCCCCCCACCCAGGTAGCT